AACAAACAAGGATCTCACAAAGACTAACAGGAAAAAACGAACCTAAATGCACACAGGACTAATCAAAGAAACAAGAGACAGGTGAGGAGGGAGGAGAAAACACAGGGGCACCAGGTGAACACAATCAGGAAATCAGGTAGGAGGGAACACAGAGACAGGAAACCAAAGACAGATCTAGGTTGCGTTCAGATAGTTTAAAAATCAGCTCCTAAGTTCTAACCCTATCTCCTATTCCTTGACCTCTGAGTGAAACGTCACGGGTTTAAGGGATAGTGGATAGGAGAATTCAAAAGGATTTAGGAGAAGAGACTGCTGTACTTTAGAGAATCAGAATGCACTTTCACTATCCGACGTGTTTATGATGCGCCAGCGGACGTCATTTTGTGCGTCTGCTGCTGTGGGGAAACTATGGAAACTACAGTTTTCTATACAGCGGACTACAACATGGATGTATAATAAGAACGACGGACTCATCTAGAGACTGCACTGTGCTCTGATGGTGTTGCTTTATGCTTTATGAACAACAGAGAAACATATTCTTCATGACCAAAGTTGAATTGAAATAAAAAAGTGAAACTTATGCTCATCACCCTCTCCCTCCAGTCCACATTAATACAAATGATCCCAATACGTATGATTGTATGATCTTAAAATCAATACAAATGTATTTATTATAAACGTTAGTCTTTAACACCATCACTGTGTATATCACCATTCAAACATCTTTTAAAAGTTGAACAAACCCCACACAGCTCAGTGAAATGTTGACTTTATTTGATAATTTCAGTAAAAACTAAGGTTCATATTTCTCTTTTTGATTATAATACTGATGAACGTTCAAAACAAAGCACTTTGGTAACTTACCACATACGTTTTAAAATGCTTAATAAGCACCGTAACTTTCATGATATAATTTCTCCGTCATAATCGTTTGTGTCCGTGAACGGCAGACTGTTGTGTGACGTCAAATGCTGCGGCTGCAAGGCATTGTGGGGCAGCATTTTCTCCTCTCCTTTCGGTTAGGGAGGTCCAGTGGTTCCCAAGCTAAAGGAGGTTATAAAGGAAGTTTGAAACCTCCTTTCCTATCATTCTAGAGAATTCAAATGGAACTTATCATGGCTGCCACTGGGGGACTTCCGGGTCATTTCACTCGGTTAGGAAGGTTCCTAAGCTAAATGGACTATTCGACTGCAGCCTCAGACAAGACAAAACACAACACAGACAGATTGTGACATAACTATCAGGGCTTATTTTTACAAATGTAAATCAGAAATCTTAACTGTAAAGTAATTATGATGTGTGCACTCACTACAATGACTACAAATGATTAATGTGTGTTTGAATGACTGTTTGTAAGTGTTTTACACTAGTGTGTTTTTACCATTTGCTTTCCACAAATAGTGACAACGTGTTGGTCACAGACAGAATTGCAACCACTGATGAAAGTCACAATGCATTCATTTTTTTAATAGCTGACCACCTGACACCCACATAAACATCAGCATTTTTGCCCTTCTGTTGTGAGTTGTGTGTTTAAAGCAGTTCAAACTCATCAATGACTCAGGCCAGTCACATATGAACCTGACTCATGTGTTTCTTGTGCCAATTGTTTAATTTCCCACTTATTATTAGAAAGAATGAGAAAAGCAGAGACAAAATGAAAATATTTGGCTTGTTTACAGCATTGCATCACAGTGAAGTAGACTGTGTGAAAGCATATGACCAACACAGAGTGGGCTGGTCCCTTCACTAACCTAATATGTCTTGAGGCATGTTAGAGCTGAGACCTCTGTTAGCTTCTACGAGCCTGAGAGTCACACAAGGAGCAACACTGTGCTCTTACAACTGCAAACATGGAATGAACTGAGAAAAATAACATAAACAGGACATCGTCAACAAAAAGGTGGGTGCATCTTTTTTCTTCTTTTGTTGTTTAGAGAAAATATTTCAATGCACAATAGTGTATTGGATAACTCTGCATCAACCCTAACTGGAACAGAATGCATTAGGGCTTCTCACACCACTTGTGAAATTATCCACTTAAATTCTTATATTTCGTTTTTTGCATGTATTATGTTGTTATTTTATGATCTGAACTATGCATGTACAGTATTTTATTGGATTAGTACATTGTTAACTATTTCCACGAACATATGACAACGTCTAAACTCATAATCACACCATCTACTGCTCTATAGTGTTGTAACAACTCCTTCTCTATTTTCTGACATTTTGACATAGTTACAAAACGTACTCCTACACAGTATTGTAATTGTGTTCCCATCATTTTTTGTGTAACAATTACTATTTCTAAAGTGTTTCTACAAACCACATTAACTGATTTCCCCCAAACTACATTAATGTAATTTGTATTCACTTGAAACAGAAACACGTCTATTTTCCCTTTCCTAAAGAGAGTAGTGCTCAGTCCTGTTACTGATCTTTATTGAATTGTCTAATAAGACTGGTTTAGAAACTATTGTACACATACTGCAACATTATCATATTTGGCGAGAATGAGGGTAAATTATTTTCTAAAACTAAGTCACACATTCTCCAATTCCAGGATAAGAAAAAGCTGCTCACTATGGAGCCAAAGGACAGTCCAATACCTCGATGGAGCCTGGGCTCCGGCTCTGGTCTACATTATGGCTCTTTTGTGAACAGTCTTTCATCCCTCACACCAAAGGCAGAGCAAACGGAGGAACCAGCCATATCACAGAGGCGCTCCTATATAGCTGTGGCTGTACTTTGCTACATCAACTTGCTCAACTACACAGAGCGGTACACAATAGCAGGTAAGTTGACCTGTTGTTGCCTTTTAACAAACACCATTAACTGTTTCTATGTTGGTTGGCTTAAATATAATGTTTGTTGTGTCCTATAGGTGTCCTTCCCGACATTCAGCAATTTTTTCGTATAAATGATGGTACAGCTGCACTCATACAAACAGGTATGAGGGTGCAGAAAACACTCTTACACATGCACCCATGTTTGGAATGTCCCTATTTGGCCCTGCATTACTTAACATTAAGTTATGAAACATGTGCTGTAAATGCATTTCAGAGAACTGTTGGTTATTGCGTGACATAAATATAACATTACATACACACATTTTGGTTTCTAAATAAGAAAAATCAATTGGTTAAGGAGTCAAGTTAATACAATATAAGAGGAATTCATTCTTATTAATGTACTTACAGTTTTCATCTGCAGTTTCTTGCTTCTGGCCCCTTTCTTTGGCTACCTTGGAGACCGTTACAACAGGAAATACATCATGATTGGTGGTTTGATTGTCTGGCTTGTGACAGCAGCCGGCAGCTCTTTTGTCACTGAGTCGGTGAGTGTTAAAATGAGGTGTCGCCACATACACTTTACAAGAAATACAAAGCAACGAGATCACAAGATGTCACTTGCAGCTAGTAGTTTAAATGTCTTCCTCTTTCATTTAACCTCATCATGCACTTACTCCTTAGATAGAATGCCCCTGTATATCAGTAAGTCAGGAAACAAAAAAATTGTTGTATGTTAAGAAGAACTTTGTTGTATTTGAAACTAAATCTTGATGAACTGCTTCTTTATGATCTAATGCTGTTTCTTGACTCTGGTAATGAGCCATACTTTTTTGTTGTTGTCTTTATTAGGATCCCCATTAGCACTAGCATGAGCATTGGCTATTCTTCCTGGGGTCCTCACACACTCAAAACATACATAAACATACATACAACAAAATTAAAAC